CCTCAAGATTTTATGAGACACTCCTTTCTGATGATTTTTATTTTTCCTTTGAATTCAGAAGGGCTGTCAATGAACCATTAAGAACTTATATTTATAAGTCACTACGTCTTATTTATTTTTAGATGCTGCACAGGCTGACTGCCAAAGGTGTGATTAGAGATTGGGAAGATGGAGTTCTCTCCCCTGATAGAACAGGACATGAGGTAATATAATCAAAAATAGAAATTGATATGTGACGCGCCAAGCAAAAACCTCCCTTATGTCTATTATGACGTAACGTCTAAAGACGCGTCTAAAGTCAACAAGGTAAATGCGACGTAAAAACGCTCCCTTCGGAGAAACTCTCCCCAGCAGAACAAGGGATGTTGTTTTAATTATATGGCATAAGAAAGATGTTTGGGTGTGGTTTGAATGTAGTTTATTCTGTACGAAGTTAGTCTCCGTCAAGTGTCTGTGTGACCTATATCCTTTTCAAAATTATTATTAATAAGTGTATACATATTTTCTAAAGATGTCCAGTGGTGGTTAAAAAATTCCCGTAAGACCGTTTTTAAAATGAAGTTTGTTTGCCCTCTTTCTGTTCAGTATAAAAATAAATTGCTTCGGTAGTTACATGGAATATTTTGAAGGCATTTGAAATTAAAAAAAAAAAAGTTGTTGATTGGATGAGAAAATTCCGGAATGAATAATTTTTAAAAAGATTAGTCGGTTCACCTTAAAAGGTCTTATAAACAAGTTTTTAAAGATTTTTTTTTAATTCAAGCTGCTAATTTCCAGCTGTTTTGTCGTGATGCACGTGCAAGAAAAATTAAACAGGAGCATTAAACTAGAAAAGGTATCTTTTTTTTAAAAATTGCGATGCAGTGAAAATTGACCTGAGTTACCTCTCTTAGCTACCCAATTTATACGGAATAAACTGAGTTGGGCAGTTAACTCTGCGGTTTATATATAAAAAAAAAAATCGTAAGCAAACAAAGTAGATTTTAATTAAAAATCACTTCAACAGTTCAAATTGATGATTATAATATTTCAATATTGAAATGTAACGTCAGGTGGATCGATATTTTTTTATGCAAGTGATTGTGCAATAAGGAACACAATTTATATGTATACATGTAGTGAAGTTTAGTTATAAAATGTAATTCTCTATAGATACGACACAGAGTATTTGACTTGGCCACTTCTTCCAGAATTAGCTTTTAGCTGTTGATTTCAAATAAATATTATGAAGAAGGGGCTTTTGAGCTTCTCAATTAATTTTGCTATTTTTTACACCTTTTCATGTTGTGCGCAAAAATGTAGGAAAAATTCGCCCCCTCTCTTTCTCCTGTGTCTGCTCTATCTCTTTGGGGACTTTGTGCAAATTTTGTCGTGAATATATACAGTACGGATGCTCGCATACATTGTAAGTTACAGTCCCACTTTCTAAGATATTTTATGATTGAGAATAAAACAGATTGGACATATGTTTATCGACATTTTCCGGTGAAAAAATGAAACATGCCGTTATTTTGCTTCACTGTTATGTATTCATTATCCGTTTGCTGAGGTTACAGTGTATACACAATACATCGAATGTGAAACTGGCGAACATGATCCATCGATAAAATGTTATAAGTAATATAAATTGATACAAATTGTTTGAACACTTTTAAAACATTACAATATATTATTATTTTGTGCAAAATTTTTCAAGCAAAGAAGAAAAAATAAGGTGAAAAGGTGATTTTTTAAACGTTTAGAAAACAACAAACTGAAACGCAGTCTCCAGTACTTATTCAGCCTTTTGAACTGAGGATAGAATGAAAGTTTACATTAAACATTTTAGAGTTATAAATTTTCATTTTGGTGATTTTATTTTAACCTTCAATATTAAGGATTTATTTTACCTGTAATAATTATTTCCCCGACAAAGATTTGACTACCAACATTTTTTGATTTCACATCTACCTTGGAAAATAGTAATCTTTTTTCCTTCTGTTGAATTGTAATATAAAATGAATATCTTTATGCATTTCAAATTATTAAAGTTTAATTGCTACGGATTACACGTAATTCAATAACAAATTAAAACAACTTCAATATTTTTCTTTTTCTGCGAAAGTCGCATTGTACATTCCTACATGTACATACATGCACAGCTATGGGGAGTTTTGTGCAAAATTAGCAAAACTAGTACGGTAAAAATCTGCTCAAAATATGAAAAAAAATCAATGATCGAAACGCTCTATGTTTAAGGAATCACTGTCTAGTTAGTATAATATGCCAGGGCATCAACAATAGTGGGAAACATGGGATAATTTGCATAACGGGCATACTATACTAACTAGACAATGATTCCTTATATTTCCATTTCATTGTGAAATAAAATTACAGATGTAGACTTTAAAAATGCAGACATAGATTTATATTACACGAGGATTCCCATCCCAATTTCAATAGTCATCGCCCACTGATGTCAAACACAACAGTAGTCGCACGAAATTTCCATGCATGTTTGGCCTCTTAGCATCAGACTGAGAGACAGATGCACACGAGATTTGCATGTATATTAGGCCTCCTTAGCTCCTGACCTATTGACCTGCCTAATTTACATTCCGGTAGAATTATTAAGAAATTAACTCTGCTAACTTTCAAAGAGTTATCACAGAGAGAAAAATTAGAAATGGAAATATTTAAGAAAAAGGACTTATCAAACATAAAAAATACATGTTGGTCGACTTGAATATTGCGTGCTTGTTCAACTAATCCATTCATATAGCTTTCTTGTTATCCCAAAAAAAATCCCGTTAGTATAAATTACATCAATTAATTAGAACCCCCCCCCCCGTTTACTATAAGGGTAGAATATTAAGAATGTGTTACCCGTTCTCTTACTTTTTGTTTCAATTTTTAACATGAATGTTTTAAACTATAATAAAAAGTAACTAATATTTGATATGATTAAAATAAATCATAATGTGTGCATGAACTTTCTCAGGAAGGTAACGGTAAAGTTTAGGTTAGAACTTGTAGTCTTTGTCTAGAAATGAATGTAAATGAAGTTGTTGAGTGTGTTACTTGTGAGATTCATGTATATTCTGGTATTGTGGTTTGTTATTCGGTCAGTATACAATGATCGATCAAAATTAATTCATGATCAACTTCATACATGTTAATAAATTGCGTAATTTTTTTTTTTCAAACCATATTTTAAAAAATATACATATATTTTATTGGATGGTGTTGGGTGTTACATTCTGATTCACTGAAAAGTATGCAAACGCATTTAGTTACGAAATAATTCTAAACGTTTTTTTTTCAATAATTTAAACATAAATGTAAAATAGGAAACGGAGGGCCAGGGAAAATTAATCAAATATTTAAAGATTAACCAGAAATAATGGTTTAAACTTTCATTAAACATTTTAAAATTTGATGCATCTAATCTTAATTGTTTTGATTTGAACACGCATTTATTGAGATAATTAAGATTGGACACAAGTTTGACAACTTACAAGTTCCTCATTTGAATTTAAAAAGACCGATTTAATAACGATATCCAAATAAAAAAAGAGTCGAACTCTACGACAAGAGACAAATACAATTTAATCCAGGATGCGGAATGTCTTATCAATAAGCCAAAAAATCGTCAGAGGTGAGGCATACTTATTTCCCGTATTAAAACATTCGAAACTAAAACATGTAAATATAGTAAACGTGATAAAAGAAATGTGGTATCCTTTAGATTAAAAAACCCTGTCGCACTGTTTAAAAATTCAAGTATTGAAAACGTTAACTATATATATGACAAAACTTTTTTTATGCTGTGTATTATATAGACTTTTAATGCCCAGGGGGGGGGGGGGGGGGGGGGGGGGGGGGGGCGCTGTCTCGAACATTTTTAAGATAACTACTTTGATAGTGTAACAGATAAACAGAGACAATGAAGTGCCTCTGCGTCAATGGGGTTGACCCGAGGCCTCTGGCTTACCAGTCCAGTGCTCTACCACATGAGCTTAAGGTAAATCTGCTTGGGCTAGCAGTAAGATGTGCATGCATCGTTCGTACTACCACAATAGGATTTTTTTTTCATCTAAATGTTGCTTATTTCCTTTTACTGTTGCAGTGATGTAGACTGTGATGTAGACTGTAGCAGTGATGTAGATTTCTGCCATTTTTCCCTTGTCAATCATTTCGATGCCCCCCCCCCCCCATTTCGTTTTTCAAATAAATAGTTTACAATGTTTATTTTTATTATTACGATGAAAAATCTTAATTATTGATAAATTTAAGGAAATCAATTCAAAAGTTTGAAAATATAAATATCATCAAATTATTACGTATGTAGCTTCACGTTATTTTACGATTTTACGTTTTGAAAATTCATGCAGTTACGCACGCGTACACTGTACGTCAAAGTAAATATTCCGTCTTTGTCATGCGATATTTTATACATTTATGCACAGAAATATATGTCATGTTATATATCAAATGAAAGAGAAAGAAAAACTCTACAAGAATCAATAAAAAACTGAAAATGTCAAAATTCTTCGTTAAGGGAGGTTTTTGCTTGGCGCGTCACATATATATCGGGATTGTAATTGATGTATCATTTTATTAGCTAAAGCATCTTAAAATGTTAAAAACATTATTATACATATCTGACTCTTGAATGCAAAAATTATGTATATAATATTTTTAAAATACTGATTTGTCCCAAATTTTGTATAACAATTTCATGTATTTGATGGTAATGGATATAAAAAAAAAAATTCTTATTTTATACAGTAATATATTTTTTCTGAATTTCAGGTGAAGAAAATGAACCTGAAGCAGTATATTATAGAGTTGAGTAAGAAGTACACCATCGTCACGTCACTCACCAGCTTTGTGGCCATCGAGAAACGAGAAAAGGTAATCACTTCAGAAATTTAGTAATTATTAACTCAGAGAATTTTCCATCTAAATTCTATGGATCTCACATCATGAAAAACAACAGATTAGGATAATCAAATAATTTCAGATTATTGTACAACAATTCTTTATTACGATTATACAATATGAAAGTCTTTTTGAGATTTTAACTTTTAAATTATAATTAAAACTGAGGACATCAACATTTAAATGCAATGCACTTTTTCCTAAATATTGGCTCCTTATGCTTTCTGAAATCTAGTAATCATTACATGTAAACATACTGACTTTTGCAAGTGAAAATCTCAGATATTTTTCCATCTAATTTCTATGAATATCAAATCAAAAATTTTATATCAACAGATCAGGATATTGACTCATTTTACCTTTAAATCAATATTCTAGTCATTGAACATCTAATGCACCAGATTTTTATTTTGAAATTCACAATTCCTGTAACTTGTTAATGAACCCCTGGATTAATTAATTTGCAGGATGAGGTGATTCCCGAGGATGCCCCAGATGTCTGGGACCTCCTGGAAAATGAGGACGTAGATCAGCTGAAATATTTATCATGGGAAGGAGAGGAGGTACATTTATTAGAACTCACAGAAGAAAAAGTCACATGACCACTGAATTCTATTGAATATAGAAATTTTTTGTACCAATTCTTCCATGTTTAAAATTTATGTATTGTTTGGTAAACTTTTCATTATTTTCTAATTATGTTCATTTGACAAGTTTTCTAAATTTTAGGTTAAACTTAATATTTCTGTTGGATAATCATACGTATGATATAAATTCACATGCTATATATTGACTTTTGATTGCTCTGTTTACCTTATAATACAGAGGGCTCATGAGGAGTATATTAACTGATTGACAAGGGGATGCTTACTTCTCTTAGGCAATATTAATTGCCGCAAAGCATTTATTTTTCTTTGGATTTGTTACATGTGTAAGAGTGTTTCTTCAGTCTTGAAAAAATCTGCATCGAAGATTGATTTTAGACTGTCAAATCGCAAAGAAAAGATAACAATAATAATTCATTGTTGGTTTACAGTACTGTAGATTTCTTATTTTTCGCTAGTACTTATTTTCACGAACGTCAAATCTCAAGATTTATAATTCACAAAGGGTGATTGATCAAGAGATTTTACACAGTTTTCACCACAATAAAAATAAAAGAAAGTAAATTTATTTTCAATTGCATGTGATGCTTCTCACAAAATTACTCAATAATGTTAATTCCACATATAATAATTTAGGAATCTACAATATGTAATGGCATGAATATTTAGCACCTGTTTCCTTTACCAACAGAAAAATAGGAGACGAATAAAAAATCAGCGCAAAAGAAGATATATACAGCAAAACTTGGTTATAACGAGTCACTGGGACCTTTGAATTTTCTTTGCTCTATATCCGTAATTTGTTATAACGGTTATTACCGTACAAGAAATTCATTTAATTTATTTAAGCAATGAATCATTATTTTTTGAACGATGTAGTCTCATAACTGCAACGGTTTTTGCAAACAATTTGAGTAACACGTGTTAGCACGTTATGAAAATTTGTTTGCACACGCCGTTGCAGTTGTGAGGTTATATCTTTCAAAAAATAATTATTCATTGCTTATTTTTACAATTTTTAACTTTCAACCTTAACTGCAAATAAGATTTCTTTTAAAAACCTATGTATTATCCTTCGTTTAAGCTACAATTAAAGGATCAGCAAACGTTACAGCTTATGGTCAATTTGAGCGTGATTTTTTTATTTTTGCTTGTGACGTTGTACTTTCTCCATGTTCAACGATTATGACGTCAAACTAAAGCACATGCTGAAGCCTCTTGGCTCCCTGTCCGTGTTATGGTGTTTTGAATGCAATAGATTTCAACTCACTTTATAATTATGCAAAAAACATATGTAATGTAAATATAATAGCAGGGGATCCAAGATGACCTCACTATAGCCATAAATTTGCAATATCCTTGTTTGTACTGAACAAGTTTTGCTGTATTTATATTTTTTTTTCTACCTAGAATGAGAGTTCAGAGAGTTCAGGGGGTTCAAGTGATGAAGGAGAGATGGAAGAAGAATATTCGTCGGTAAATTTCATTTTCATTAAATGTAAATCCAAGATGGAAGTTAAAATAATTTTTGTTTGATCTTCAGCAACTCTTGAAGAATTGCTATTGCATTGAGCTTTCACTGTACATTAATTTAAGTTCAAACAACAAAAATATTTCAGTCTTTTATTAACAATAAAAATTTACTGAAAAAGACTTAAAAGTTAACATCATGTTAGGCAAGATTTTGGAATACACGACATTCAGATTAGACAAGCTTCATCATACAACTAGTTATAATATTATTGTAACAGGGACCCGTTTCAGATGTTCCTTAAACGCTCCATAACTCCCTTTTTGGTGCCATTTCCAATAAACTTAAGTAAAGAAGACAATCAAGTTTAATGGTTGTTTTAGGCCTAACCGCAGGTATTCCCAATTTTCAAAAGTGAGTTATCTCCCCTCAAAATCGGAACTCTTCTACACTCGCCTAACTTCCGCGGACTACTATTCAACAAAATAGTGATTAACTTACACGCTGTATTTAAAAATTTTAAAAGAAGGAAACGGTTTGCATTTTTTTAAGATAATAAATTATTCTATAAAGGGTCTTTTAGCTCCCCTCCTTTTCTAGAGAGCTACACGAATTAGCCAGGCACGTAACATCGTCTTTAAAAGGGGGGGGGTAGCCAAAGAAATATTTTTTCTTACCTGGAAAAGTTGACAAGCAAAGAAAAACCTTGCCCAAAGTTGAAAAAGATACTTATTTCAGTACCAGTTCCTTGGCATACGATACTACATTTCCCTTATTTAACTTTTTCGTAGTATTAACTGTGTGTGTGTGTGTGTGTGGGGGGGGGGGGGGGTTGGCAACCTGTCTATCAATGAAAATTTTAAATAGAAAAAGTAATATTAGGAAAAAAAGTGGGGGTGGGGCTAAGCCCCTTGACCACCACTCCCAACCCCCCTCCTCCCACCCCCCGTGCGTACAGGTACAGAATATGTAAATGGGTTGAACAGTTGAATATGAACCATAGTTGTGAAAATTAAAAATTATTAGAATTATTAATTGTGAATTCAATAAAATTACGGTACATATATTTTTTCACAGATGTACATGTATGTCAGTTACACGGGGTTACATGAGTCTCTCTCTCTCTCTCTCTGATATTGTTTTTTTTACACACTTTGCAAAAAAGAATAACTTATAAAAATAAATACATGTACTTACACTGAAAGTATTTTAAAAAAATAAATAACACTTGAGAAAAGAATGTTTTCCGTTAATTAACGAGAAATACGCTAGGAAATTATTGTATCAATTTCGTGTTTCTGCTCTCAATTCTCTGATCTAAAACAAAATGTGTATTTTACTCGGGAATATACATGTATATATGCTTAGATCCTACACTAAAACTTTGATTAAATGCAGCTAAGACTTTATACGACATAATTATGTAACACAAATTCAGGTCAATGCCATTTTAATTAGTCTTTCTTCGTTACATGAGGACATGAGATTAAATTATTCATTTAGAATTCCATTCAAAGTTTTAATACTATATAGTGAATCAATTATTTTACAAATAAAAAATTCTAGAAACACTGTTAATTCAAATGAAATAGGCCTTTAATTGTCACCAAATGTGTTCTTGTAAGTAAAAGTTCTTTGTTATGACATACAATCGAGCAAAAACGCAGTTTCTTGATATCGGTCGCGGAAGACGAACTACTGCTGTATATGCAGCAATTTCAGAGGTAAAACTGTAGATGGACATGTCATCAGTCTCCAAAAAATTCCTAGAGATACAAAGAAAATATGGCTGCAGCAGGCTAGATTAATTCGTAAAAACTTTATAACTAAAAATTTGTTCTGCACAATTTGTAAATAATGATGATCCGTCTGTAGAACATCAACTACCGAAAATTAGCTTATTAGATTTTTTTTTAAAATTTTTTATTTTAAATAGGCCTATTCGAATATGTATCAGCATTTATCAGTAATTTGTTTCGTTTTTTTTTTTTTTGTAAGGGGGGGGGGGGTCACACAGCACCATATTATAGTACTACACAGATTAATACAAATCCAGAAAGAGATTATGAGTAGGCAGTTTAAAAAAAATACGAATCAGTTACGATTTCTTTTTATTCACAAACACAATAACATTTTTCCATATGACAGAGGCATTACACCATGAACATGTTTACATCAAGAACGTCCGCGGAAGTGACTTTATTTATAGCGCATGCGTATTAAACACAGTAAAAGAGTTCCCTTCAGGGGAAATAACTCACCTTTTGAAAATGGGGAATAGGCGTGCGCAGGATGACCATGTCACTAGTCTAGATACAATAGATACATCATTCTTATAATATCTTAGTATCGAAACATTTCATAAAAGAAATATTAAGTTATGGCTATATCATGTATATTTGTCATTTAAAGCACTGTATGTGCCTTTGTGCATGCAAAATTTTGTTCCGATAAGTTTGAAACCAAGAAAGTTATATACCAGGGTAGGCATTAAAAAGTTTAAGCCAATCAGATTGCAGCACACCTGCATGTGTGTGACTGTTTTCATAAGACTCTTATATCATGTAGTAGAAGCTTGTGATGTATGAAGTTCTAAGTTTCAAAGTATTTTGTCAGAAAACAAGAAGGATATTGAGACTTTTGTTTCAGCCAATAAGAGTGAGGCACACGTACATGTGCATGTGTCCAAGGCATGCTCTTTTGACCATGTCCTCCTGTCTACACTATTTTATCTTTCTTTGTTTTTTTTTGTTGTTGTTCTACAGGAATTGTTGGTTCAATTTAAAC